AGAGGAAGTCAAAAATCATGGTTCCAGAAACAAAGAAATTTTTTCAAAAGAGTTAGTTGACTGCACGGCACTTAAATTTGACCGGATCTAACGGTTTGTTCCGAAAGATAAAACTGAAGACTCAAACAGAATGGCAACAAATACAGCAACAGGTACTTTCAATAGACTGCTCCAAATATATGACTGATCGGGAAGCGATTACTGAAATAAAGAAGTCTTATTTACCGGCACTGCTGACAGCTATCTCGGAAAGCAACTGTTTGAGAAATCAAGACACAGAAATGCAAATAACTGGTCCTGTTATAAAAAATCGAAAAACTTAAAGTATCCATAGTATGACGAAAGAACTGCGGACACTGGTCATCGAACACAAAACTATATAAACAGATTTTCCACTGAATTTCAGTATCATTCCTCATCCAGTCCTCAACAATGACTGACTTACGACGACTTGGTCTTTACTGGATTCTGCTGTATGTTCTGATTCATCAAACAATTCAGGTAATTTTCCACTTCTTTTATCCATTTTTCAAAATCAGTACTTTTCCGACACTTTATTCAAAAAAGTCCTTCTCTAGCTCCAAAACAATATCTGCTTAAAATTAAGCTTTTTTAATAATAACAATGACCTTGCTCCCTTACCATAAAAACCGCTGACACTAACTGTATAAGTAAAAAATAACAGTTTTATTTTCAAAAAAAGCATAATAACGTCGATAATTAACAATATTTATAACTTAGAAAAGTTATAACTGCACTACAGTACTTGAATTACGAAGAGATATTCTGATTATAATAAAGCTAGAAATTAATTTCACCAAATAAATTTTTTTTCTTTATCACGTCCGTCCAGTTGTTTTAAGGGAAAACGAAAGTGAAGTGTTGTTAGAAGTTTTTTGCTCAACGACAGTTCCTTCTCAGTAAAACTTTAAAAAAATAGCTCTTAAATATTTTTTACGTGTTTTCTTTACACTTCTTTACACCACACTACTTTCCAACTTCAAGTTCAAACTGAAAAACAACACCGTCTGACATTGGCAAATCTTTCTGCTCCGTAAAAATTCGGACTGGAACTAATGACAGCTCATCGTTTAAGCTATCTAAAAGAACAACAAAGAGAAAAATACTCATAAAGAATTATTTCTAGGCTCATGTTATATCCAACTACCAAAATCCTGGTGAATCTGTTACAAATGCACAGCTGCCAACTGGCCGATACATTGTTAAAAGAGCACGTCAAGGACCTCCGTCGATAAATATAACCTTTGACGAACAGGGTAACGCTAATATATACTGGAATCTTAGCGACGAGGAACTGGAGAGGTTAAAAGGCTTAAGTACCTTCTGTGGGAACTTAAGCCAACTGGGGACCAAAACTGGTACATGCCCGTAAGTGTCACATTGTTTTAACAGTGTAATAACTAAATCCGCAAACAATTTTATCACTTTTTTGCTAACGATTCCAAAATGTAACTGTGAAATTCTTAGCTCTTTCCTAAAAAATGGAACTCAGACATTCTGTAAGCCAAATTCAAATTCTACAACAAATCTATACAGTTTTATAATTTCTTCAAGAAATTGTAAGAGCGTAATAACTGACAACTAAAATTTGACTATTTTCCCCAAAATCAACCAGAAAAAAAAAATTTCTAGTTGTGTTTAGCAAGTAATAATTCTAAAAATAATCTTTTTTCTTATGAAGTCACTGCCTGGGCCGTTTTTTCAAGACTATAGAACTTTGAAATTATCCACCAACCTGTATGCGAAAAAGAAGAGGAACAAATAAATAAAATTATACCAACAACTTTTGAAGTTTTAGTAAAGTTAAATAAAATTTGTAAAAAATTACACAATTGCAGATGTTGCAACTGCGGACAACAACAATCACTAAGCACTACACAAGAGACAATTTGTCCGTGCTGCATGTGTCAACAGAATCAGTCTAGCAGTCAAAAATGCAGCTGTTGCTGTAATTGTGAACAACCAACACTACAGGGAACAAGGTCGACTTGTCCCTGCTGTCAGTGCTCAAATTCAGGAACATGTTCTTGCTGTCAGAACTCAATGTCTTCTCCATGCCCTTGCTGCCAGAAATGCAACTCTGGAACATGCCCTTGCTGCCAACAGTGCAGGTCCGGGACTTGTCCTTGTTGCCAACAATGCAGCACCGGAACTTGTCCGTGCTGCCAACAATGTAATAATACCTCAAGCAGCTGCCCATGCTGCCAGCAAGGTGGGTCTGGAACCTGTTCATGTTGTCAAAAATGCTCCGCACCTTCAGATTCCCAGCAGCAGAGTAGAAGCTCATCCCCGTCTGCAACATGTCCTTGCTCGTTAGGATCCGGAGGTTGTCCATGCTGTCCTTGTTGTTGCTGTTGCCCAGCCTGCGAAGCTCCGTGTTGTTTCATAAGTCAAACTCCGTGTTGCTGCTGCACCACTCCATGCTATTGCACCTATAGACAAAAAAGAAACGCTATTGATTCCGTTGAGGAAGTACTAGAAGCAATCTTCACAAAACACTAAGGCAGTGAAAGGACCACCAGTTAAATATTTTCCGGGCGCCCGCTTTCGTAAAGCCTGATCGAGACGGGATGAATCGTCAACTTCTCGCACAGTTTCTTCCTTCTCTGGACTACACAGTTAAATACTTCTTTGAACAAACTGTCTGCGACGGACGTAGATCTGCCTAATTTATTCAGTCTATCCCAACCTACCAAATCTTGTTAACCAGACTGACAACTACAGCCAATGCCCAATGGAAAACTGCCCTACACTATGCCCCAGCGACTACACAATTCGAAGTCAACCTTGGACCTTTACAATCTTTTAACTAACGCTGGATTTGAATGTGGATTATCACTTCGCCACCACCAGTTGTAAATCTTCTTTCTGCACTCGCTTCCATGAAATGTTTTGGTTCACAAAGCCCATACGCTTAAATATTTATTAAAATTGTGAAATAAAACAAGTTTCAAACCCCTTAACAAAATCGTAGCCACGTTACATCTATCACTACATCGGAACAACCTCATTTTAGAATCACCACTGCTACAGAGACAGAGTGAACTTCAAATTTCAAGGCATCACACTGAATGAAGTTCCATTCTTATTTCCGATCCCCATGTTTCCAAGTCAGACAATGGAAATAAATCGTTGACGTCAAATCTGCCCCCCAGATACTCCCTAAGAACTCCCCAAGCATACCGAAGCACATTCCCGACCGGTACCACCTGCCCAGGAACAATTTCCAAAGAAATCATATCCCCTCAAAACAATTATCAAGAAAAAGCACTAAAAATGTGACGTTTGCAGCTCCACCGCCTCTGAAACACCACACTAATCCGTGACTTTACTTCGCAAAGCAAAACTCTTAAAACAAAAAACGCACACACAATACAGACGGCTTGTCAAGGGTAAAAATTAATTACACCTCCCTGCCCCTCAAAAACGCAAACTTCAATTGCTTATAGCAAAAACAAATGAAAATGAGAAGAAAAAAGACACTGAGAGAAATAGTTACTCTAACTCGCGCCAAAAACCTCGAAAAAAACACTTCACTCCAGAAACAAATTAAAAACAAGCAACCACAACAACGCAACTCACTGACAGGTAGGAACGTAGTTTCCGTGAACCGTTCTTCACGGAATACTCCTCCACCAAGAACAGCGACCAGAGCAAACCACTTTAATATAGCCCTTAAAACCCGTATTAAGTCGCGCCTCAGCGAAATGATCGAATTAATTACTAGCAACCAATAAACCGTTAAACTAATAACGGCGACTAGCAAGCCTCAATAACAACAGTACCAAAAAACTATTATCGGTGAAAATTAGGATAGAAAAAATAAGAATAATAGAAATGACAATAAAACAGCAACGAGAATAGAAACTTTCAGAAAGATAGAAATGACAATTGTGACAATAAGAGTGGTAACAGTTCTAATGAAAATAATAAG